TCAAAAACATATTGCATTTACCTCGCTGCTGAGAACAGATGGCAACGACATTCCCAAATCGCGTAGAGTTGCTCGTTTCATTTCTTCAGGATTGTTTATGGTCAGATTGGTTGGATCCTCCTCTTCAACTGTGCTAAGGACTTTCATGGGTGTTTGCGAACTATGGAGTTCTGTGCTCAATTGACCGTGAAATGAACCGAGCCTAGTCGGTCTTTGTAACGGTACATCTTGCGATAAATGACGCAAACCCTCTAAAGAGACTGGCTAAACTGATCGAATTTTCCCTTATCTCAACAATTTTTCAGGATTTCAATATTTGATCTTTAATTAGAACAAATTTCATGAAATCTCCTATTAGAAAATGTTGAGAAACCTCTGGAATGACGACGCGAATGTGGTGGAGTAGGGTACGGCGAAGGTATTGTAGCTGCAATATTCATCTTTTCAATCAATGTTCTGATTTCATTTGGCTTTTTTTTTTGACACGAAGCGTTTGCCATGAACCACTATTGTCATTCCACCTCGGTCACCGTTAACAATCNTTTTTTTTTTGACACGAAGCGTTTGCCATGAACCACTATTGTCATTCCACCTCGGTCACCGTTAACAATCAACCGAGATTGATTGAAAAATTCAGTAGGGTTCATTTTTATGTGGCACAAAAGCGTAACATTGCAGTCTGCTTAAAGACTGCCTAAAAGCATAACGAACCTCTCGACTGACGCCGTGAGCATGGTTGTGAAGAATAGAACGCAATCGATGGATCATATATTGCACCTACAACATTTCTTTTTTTGTACTGCAATTCAAATGATCCTGCTCAATAGTCAGCCATATTCAACGAAATATCACCGAAGCCGATTACAATTGAAACAGACTTCACGATATCAGCTAGTGTTTTCACGGGCGCAAGTCATGATCGAGTTTAATCAAAAGCATCGACACAGTGTTTGAGCAACTCACTAAATGACACCTCGATGAAAAATTCTATTCTAAACAAAATTAGTTCATGAGTATAGTACATGAAACTCTTGACCCATAAGCAATGATTTTGGTCAAAGTTAAGAGAACGTACTGATTCCGCCGTTTGTATGTCCGTCAAGCACTGCCATTGCTGATGCTTGCCTGACCATGTTCGATGCTGACTTCCTTCCAGGCCTTGAGGATAGTGCATTTTTCCGTCTACGATGACTACCTTGTTCAAGGTCATTGATTGCGAATTCAGAATGAAAGAATGATCTCGATGGTGCTTCCACAGTTGAAACAGCCCTCCTTCACTACCTCAGATGAATCGTATGAGCACAAGTTGTGTCATAAAACAATGAATGTTCTAAGCGATAATCAGAAACATGAAAGGAACACGAACAGATTTGAAAGTTATCAATTTTAAAGCAAAAACGAAAAGTCAGTTGTGAATTCACTGATAAAAAATATTCAATGAGCAATCGGATTACTCTATCAAAACAGCAAAAGCAACGTGGCATATGATCTGCTTGTGTTAGGAAATGATAATGAGAATTATTGAACCATGGCAAGATTTATGGCCAAAAATGAGCATAAATTTTCTCCTGGACAAAGGGATCTTCCTGAGTAAGAACAATCGAAATACTGAGCTACCGTCCATTCCAGTGAAGACGATCAGTGAGTCTTGAGAATTTCCATCGTTTCGAAAAACTTCTGGCAAGGGATCGTGTCGAACTTCGCGCACTCTCATCGAGTGATTTGCGAACGACCATTTTTGGCTCCTCAGTTGAAATACTGAAAACTGTCAGAA